CACACACACACATGCGCGCGCACACGCACACACACACACACACACACACATATATATACATGGTGTCCCGAACCTCCATGATGATCCTTGGTGAGAAAGTAGAACGGATTGAGGTGAGCAAGAAAGTTCTGTGCCGTTTTGCGATATTCGCAATAATAGTCGAGATATTAATTAGAAAAGATTGGTGAATGATCACGCGCAATATGGTAGATGAGCTGCAGTGGCGCCGTCTGCCGTTGTATACTTATACATTAAATCAAACTGAACAAAAAAGTCCTTTTACCATTTCGTAAGTTATCATATAGATTTTTAGATATTAATTAAAGAAAATTTGTGCATTATGGTATACAATCATATATGTAACAATTTTCTTTAATATTTAAAATTCTATGTGGTCATTTGCAAAATGATAGAGGACTTTTTTGTTCAGTTTGACTTAATGTATAAGTATACAATAGCAGACGGCGCCACTGCAGCTCATCTACTATATCGCGCGTGATCATTTACCAATCTTTTTTAATTAATATCTCGACTATTATTGCGAATATCGCAAAACGGCACAGGACTTTCTTGCTCACCTCAATCCGTTCTACTTTCTCACCAAGGATCATCATGGAGGTTCGGGACACCATGTATATATATGTGTGTGTGTGTGTGTGTGTGTGCGTGTGCGCGCGCATGTGTGTGTGTGTGCAGGATGCCCCTGACTCTCCCCCGTAATTTTTGTGGGAACTAAATATAATTTGTAGAATGGACTGAGGTCCCATATTGTTTTGCGATATTCGTAATAAAACTCGAGATATTAATTTTAAAGATGATTGGTGAATGATCACGCGTCATATAATAGATGAGCTGCAATGACGCCGTCTGCCGTTGTACATTTATGTCAAACTGAATAAAAGAGTCCTTTACCATTTTGTAGATGACAACGTAGATTTTTAGATATTAATTAAAAAAGGTTTGTACATAATCGCGCACAATCATGTAATAATTTTCTTTTATTAATAATTAAAAGTCTACGTAGTTATTTATAAAATGATAAAGGGTTTTCTTGTTCAATTTAACCTAATATATAGGCACTTATCTACCATATCGCACGTGATCATTCATTAATCTTCTTTAACATCTCGACTATTATTACGAATAACGAATATCGTAAAACCAGGCCTTTAGGGCTTATGTTCATCTCAATTCCTTCTACGTTCCCATAGAAACTGTGAAGCGATATCTGACAAGCGACACTCTATATATTATAACATATTATCGTGGTAAAAAAGCGACGTGGCCTATGTAACTTTTGGATGAATGATAACAGTACAAGTATAAGCAATCGTATACGAGATACCAGCGACACGCGACAATGCCGGGTCAGTCGGCAGTTAGGACTTCCGCGCACAAATTGCTGTATAATAGATGTAAGACGTGAAATCGAACTAAAGAACAAATATTGCGGTACGTTTGTTTTCTCTAGAAGAAGATAGAACAGATTTGCCCAGCTAGGCAAGTGTATGTAAATTTGGCAGGAACTTTTACCATACAAAAAAAAGCTACATATGAACAACTAATTTGCTGTGTTAGACACTTTTTCTTTGCTGCAGGAATCAATTTCCTTGCTGTGATAACAAGAAAATCTGCTCCTGCAACAAAAAAAGTAGCTAAAACAGTAAATGATGTTTAATTGTCCATCTGTAGCAAATTTGCTATGTTCCCTGCTTAAAATATTTGATAGAAAATGATTGAATAAGATTGAAATGGATAGAATTCCTATATTGACTTATCATGCACCGAAGCATAGACTTTCAATAGACAACATAGACTTTCTATATATTTTAATCATATTTTGTGATACTAATCTTTTCAATCATCTTGAATATCATATTGATGTTTGTATAATAAATTGATATTTCTGAATCATAGTAAATATTACATTATGTATTTATTATTTTATAATAAACTACTTATAATATTCTTTCATAATAATTCTACTTATAATGACGATTACAAAATAGTCAGATAAAAATGAAAAGAATATGTATGTAGTTTAATCATATCTTATGATACTACTCTTTTCCATCATGTTGAATATGAAAGTTGGTATAATCAGTTTATATTTATCAATTATAGAGAATATATGATATATGAATTTACTTACGAAATTTCGTAAATGAGTTGTGAAATATGTGAATCAAAATCACCATAAAATATGATAGACAAATTTTCTATCATTTTCTATCATTTTCTATCCAATATTTTAAGCAGGATTAGCCACTTTTCTTGCTATAGGAGTAGATTTTCTTGTTATTATAGCAAGGAAATAAGTTCCTGCAGCAAAGAAAAAGTAGCTAACATAACGAATTATGTTTAACTGTCCATAGGTAGTAAATTAGTTTGCTGCTGCAACAAATTCTTTTTCTCCGTGCAGGCGCGATTCATAAAAGGTCGCGTTCTTTATGATAAGTTTACTCATATTATATATATCACACTGTCTATAGTGCAATTAATGTATTCTTCACGGAGATGCTATACTTATAGCTAATGATTCAGTTATAAGTATAGTATCGCAATCAAACGGTATAAAATATCGTTGAAACAATCGGTTAATAACAGCGACTGATACTATTATGCAGTTTGTAAGTGCAATGTCATTGCACGCAAGTTGCATGGAAGCCGTGAATTTTATCGCTACAAGTGCAGAAAGCTGGATTTAGTGCAGCGTATAATGAATCTACGCAGATTTTAGTTACTAGTTTTGCTTATTTGCAGTAATCTCATCTCCATCTGCCAAAATCAATTAAATATACGATGGAGCAGTAAAGTGGGGATATTTTAAAAAATTTACATGAAAAAGAAATATAATATTCTCTTCGTAATAGTAAAGCATCTGCCAAATTTATGTATGCCTGTCTATCGCGTTTGTGAAGCTGACACGACGTTTTACAAATTAGAGAAAACAATGACAGTTCTAGTAGCACTTTTCATAGTTCTAGAGTTCTAAGTAGGAAACAAAAAGAGTTCCGCATATTCAATATCGGAAAACAGCAAATGAAAAATTATCGTGCTAACTTCGCGAATCTAGCACGACACTTTCCCTCTAAAGTATAAGAAATAAATAAATACCACTACTTTTAGCAAGAGTTCCCATCAGCTCTGATCGAATTCTATCAGAATGTTCAATTAAGAAAACTTCAACAATTACGCCTTTTTCATAAACTTCGAATACTACACTCAGCACGACATTTCCGAGAAAAATATCACGCAGAATATATCTGGCCGTTCTATTGACAGTTCTCGTTAGTTCTAACATAGTTCTAACATAATTCTAGTCCCTACGATCAAATTTAAGAAAAGTTCCGGCGGTTACCTATTTTTAAATAATTTTTTAATTTTCAAAGTAAGCACGACACTTTTTCCAAGAACTCTTTTTGTTTTCTACCTAGAACTCTAGAACTATGAAAAATGCTAATAGAATTGTCATTGTTTTTTTAAAAATTTGTAAAACGTGCCAGCTTTATACACACAGACGCCTGTCTGATTCGTCTGGTTGAAATCCCAGGTACTCAGGTCGAATTCCGCTTATACGGCCATTTCTGTCTTCTTCTAGATAGGAGAGTCCTAAAGCAACGTCTTGATTGGTCCCTCAAGAGGTTGGCCCCTCATTGGTAGCTCGAGGATGGGTCTTACGTTCGCGGTTACGGCAATTCGTGTGCGAAAGCCCTCGCGAGCGACTTAATGGCAAAGAATTGTATGCAGAATACGGCCACGTTTCGCCTCGGTCGAATTGTCGGATTAATGTTAAGGAGTTTCCCGTTATTTGGCTCAAGCGTGCCGACTAGAAAACTGTCGCTGGTGCTTCGACCGGCGTTCACGACAATGGCAGATGCACGTAGCATATAACGAGCGGATAACGCGGAAGCGCTTCTTCCGCGTGCAGGTACAGTTAAACTGCGAGCCGATTGCAGCGGTTCTGCCGATCGCAGCTGCGGGCGCAAAGGCGCGTCCAGTGCAAAACAACTATACGGGGTGGGCAAACTGTGCAAACGTGTACGAGCTGAGTCGGCGCGCGCGCGAAAGTGCCGGCCGGAGCGTGTGCAAGATTATTCGTCGGCTAATTCGAGCCGCGGTTGCAACGTCGAGCGCTGAAAATTACGATAAATGTCAGTTTCAAGTTGCGGCCAATGTAAATTCCAAAGTGGTGCACTTCTACCGCGACGCTGACTTCAACTATCTCGTATAGGATAAGAAATCCGAAGGATGGAATTCGTCGAGTATACACGGAGAAAAATAATTTTGTTCCTTTAGCAAAATCGTCGTTGCTACTGCACATTCGTAGTGACAACAAAAAAATTTAGTCGACCTAACTAATTTTACAAATTATTCGTTATTAAAACAGAAGTAGTTTCGTCGCCAGGATAGAAGAAAATTTATTGAGTGTATTTGTCCTAAGAATCACTAGTTAATTTGCTATTGATGCAAAATAATGTATCCTTCGCAAATTTATTTGCTATCGGAGCAAAACTGCAACTGCTTATATAAATCCATCATGGTTCTTACAGTAAAATAATTTGTAGATTCAGCATATTATATTCAGCAAATAGTGATTGGTACTCTTAGCAAATCTTTTTGCTGTCCACATAATAATGAAAAGTTTTTGCTAGACCAGCAGAAAATTTGCTGGGCCGACAAATTATTTTTCTCCGTGTAGGATAAGAAATATTTAGGATAAGAGGTAAAAGGTAAGAGGAAAAATAGGATAAGAAATAATTAGGATAAGAGGCGAACAAGGAAAAGAAAGAAGTGGGTGTAGAAAAAATGTAAAAATAATGTTAAGATAAAACTAAGAACTTGCTGACATTGTAAGCTGAAGTAAAAAAAATAAAGAGACTTCAACTATCTCGTCTGAAAAAAAAAACCTGGCCCACCTCTGTCGGTTTAAAGAGAACCTTTTGGGTTTCTCGAAAAGCGTCTGATTGAATCTATCAAAGTGAAATATAAACAAAATTCCGATTATCAATACCGTTCAACGTTAACCAGAAATCTTGTTAACTTAAACGAAATTCTGGTAACCTCAACGACACTGAGAGAAATTATCTGATAAAAAATTAACAAACGGATATTTCTGATCAAAATACCGATAAATTTCTATATTCAATCAGGATATCTGATTAAATTTAATCGAATACTTTCATAATGGCATTTCATCAGATAAATCGATCAAACGATTATAAACCGATATTTCTCATCGGATGTTTCCTGATCAGATACAAAAATTCATTTGATTTTGATCGGAAATATCCATTTGTTAATTTCGTATCAAATAATTTTTTTTAGCGCAGAATTTCTGACTTGTTTATATTTCATCACAAAATATTTGATTTAAATATTTTAAATATTTAAATCAAATATAATAATATAATAATAAATATAATCAAATAATAAATATAATCAAATATAATAATATAATAATAATATAATCAAATATAATAATTTAATCAAATATTTTAAATATTTGATTAATCCAACCAAATTTCTTTCCCGTGTGATCGACAGAAGAATGACAAACTATAGAAAAATCGATATTCGTTGCTGAAAATGCCGTCAGAATCGGTAAATCGTCTAAAGAATTAAACTTTCTCATCTGATAATTCTAATGAAACGAAAATATTATTTCACGTCGAGAAATCGCATGAAAAAAATGCCATTTAATATATTTTTCCGATCAAGTGTATCCCTAAACACACATAATAAAAATGGGCGAGGTTCTGATTTGACGATATTTTAACGATACTCGATGGAGTTCGCGTCCACGGATGCGGTCTGTTTGACGTTCCATAGGCTTCCAGGTATTCTCTTTTTCTTATATACGCGGCTGCTGACGTCAGCATATAGCTAGGATGCTCCGAAGCGTTTAATGAACCCGGGAGAAACGTCCTGTGTGACTCGCGGGGCGCCCGATCGATCCTGGAAACAGGATCCCGCAGGACGCGGAGCTCCAGCAAAATATTCGGGCATCCGCGAGAGATCGTTAAAAGTGCCCACTCGACCGTGCGAGGATTAAATCGATACGGTAACGGGTCGCGTCGACAACGATGCGTCCCAGGAATGCGTTCTCGCGCGGGCCGGTAAATGACGCGTGGAAATGTCCGGCCGGCGGTTCCGTCACCGGTAATTTGCAGCGATAAGACGGAGTCGCGTTCGTGGCGGCGACAGTTGCGGTAACGGTTAGCGACTCGGAAACGACTCGCATTACACTTTGCGCCCGCGATAAGCGATGCGGAAACCCACTGCAATCGAGTGAAGCGCGTTTGCAATTCGTCTCGTGGCAGAGGTTTCGTAACGAAGCTCGCGGAACGATCGATCGATCGACCGATCGATCCCGTTCGTCGAGGGACGAAATGTGAATCGCTATCGCGAAATTCATCATCATCCTCCTCTATCCAGAAAAAAGAAAAAGAGAAATTCTCCACACGGAAAAAAAAGATTTGCTAATACTACTGTGTCCAAAAAGTAAGACCAATTTAAACTTTTTTTTTTAAATCTTTATTTATTATTCCACATCTATTTCGTCACCTTCAAAGTAATCCCCCTCAGACACAATACACTTATGCCAACGATTTTTCCAACCCTACGGTTGGAAACCGTATTACGTGATGCATATAAAGCCACACTGCAGTGATAGATATAAACCCACCATCTCACACTGCATTGGTTCTTCGAGACCATTTCGCTAAAAATTCGACCCATATCGTTCCACAACCACCATATTCTCCTAATTTAGCACCGTGTGACTTCTGGCTATTCCCTAAACTCAAAAGACCGCTCCGGGGACACCGTTTTGACTCGATTGAAGAGATACAAGCTGAATCGAAGAAAGCTTTGAAGGCCATTCCGAAAATCGAGTTTAACAACTGTTTCGAGGGTTGGAAAAAATGTTGGCATAAGTGTATTGTGTCTGAGGGAGATTACTTTGAAGGCGACGAAATAGATTTGGAATAAATAAAGATTTAAAAAAAAAATTTTAAATTGGTCTTACTTTTTGGGCACAGTAGTATATGGATAACTAAAAATATTAACTGCAAGAGCAAATTTTCTTGCTTTCATAGCAAAGTTATTTAGTTGTGATAGCTAAAAGATAACTTTGCTATGAAAGAAAAAAAATTTGCTCTTGCACAGTTAATATTTTTAGTTGTCCATATATTAGCAAATCTTTTAGCTATCACAACTAAATAACTTTGCTATGAAAGCAAGAAAATTTGCTCCTGCAGCTAATATTTTTAGTTATATATTAGCAAATCTTTTTTTTCCGTGCAGAATTCGGAGGATTCCGCTAAGGATAAGAGTATATTTTGTCTCAATACCGTAATTTATTTACGCTGATTTTTCCTCCCGACTCACGTGTGGTGCAAGACCAGCGAGAAGAAAAAAAGGTTGCGTCGCAACGCGAGTCGAAAGATGTAAAAACGACGCGTGCCGACACAAAGATTGCGCTTCGTCTCTTCCCTCTATGCGAATTGCATCCACCATTGTGCGTACAATGAGGCGCACGTCCCTTGAGAATCAGAACGCGATTGATATTGTGGGCTCGTTGCCTTTCTATGGTGCAACAATGCGCGCACCGAGACGGCGATGAAGGATAAGAGCGCGGTGAGTTAGAAACCATAGAAACTGGCTTTTTCGTCCGGGAACACTTTACCTAATTGCCGAGACGTTCCACGCTTCATCGGACGCGTTTCATTCTCTGTACGCGTGCGACAGAAAAGTAAAATGTGTAGGATGAGTCACCTGATGTATCAGATTCTAAAACACCTCCGTTGCTTCTTTATATCAAAGAAAGATGTGCGAGAAGTAAATTGTACGGCTGGAAGGGATAAATGTATTGTGGCCAGTCGACCCTTCCAGTCAGTTTATTCCTCGCGCATTTGCCTCTAATATAAAAACACAAGAGGGATATTTTAGAATCTAACGTGAGAGGTGACTAATCCTGCAGATATACATGGATACAATCCCGGGACAAGCGTTGAAATTAAATTGAAGGAAAACTCTCAGAATGAAGCACCTTTATCGCGACGTTGAGCTGAGCTCTACCGCGCGCCCAACAGTTATTCGAAAATGTAGAAAACTGCGCGAGAGACGCGCGATAGACCGAGTATACGGTAGTATTCGCGTTGAAAAGTGCGCAGATAAATATTTTTACATCTCGCTGATTTCTCGTGCGCTTCGTGCCGCATAGCGCGGATAATGCGCGATGATATCTCTCCATACGGCGTGAATCTTAATGAATTCTGGAAAAGCGAGAGACTCACCTAACTGCTTCGAGGCGTACTGCTGCAGTAGACGCGTCCGTTTCTTTTCATAACCCTTCTGTGTGATATCCCCTGAAACAGCGAGAAACGGTAGCTAATTAATGGCCGATTCGAAGTGCGATTTGCATTCACGCTCGATATCATGCGGGTGGGAGGGCCGCTTCGCTCGGCACGCGAAGTGAGCGAGCCAAGGACTGAGCGAAATTCGTCGCTCGAAAGGATATAATTAATTTTCGTTACATTATCCCGCACTTACATATTTATTTTGTCATTTTTAATAGAGAAAAAAAACAATTCTTGCCCATTCTTTTTCGGGAAATACCAGTTTTTATCACTGGCATGGGATTTATCTAAAAAAATTTGAAATTTTGCCAACCCTGCTTATTAGAGTTCAAAATTAATACGTTCAGAAACGAAATCCGCTGTCATCACTTCTGATTTTCTTCTTCTTTTATTGTAAATAATCTGCAATGAGTTCAATATCGATGAATTGTTTTAATTGATATATAAAAAAGCTAATAAATTAAGGTTGATGTACATTTCAAAATAACTGCACGGAAAAGAAAAAGACTTGCTAATATATGGACAACTAAAAATATTAACTGCAGGAGTAAATTTTCTTGCTTTTATAGTAAAAGTTATCACAATTAAATAACTTTTACTATGAAAGCAAGAAAATTTGCTCCTGCAGTTAATACTTTTAGTTGTTCACATATTAGCAAATCTTTTTTTCTCGTGTGGTTTAAGAGTTAATCCACTTGAAGTTAACTGACTGAAGTTAAAGGTTACTAACTTTTTGACTTAACTTTTAACCGATCGACTAGTTATCACCCAACCCTGCGTCAGAGTATAATATTATTAAAGCTGAAGTACAACATCGTGCGTCGTACTTTAGTAGTCAAGTGGAAGGAAGAGATAAGGAAAGGGGCTGGGGATGAGGGTAGGAACATGCGCTGCACGGGGATCAATTAAATCGGATCTAATCGACCGCGACTCTTGACTCGAGCCCGAAGGACGATGGAACGCCGGTCGAAGGGGCAACGATCGAACGGGCGTTTTCCAGGATTGAATTTTAGATCGATGCACGCTTGGCTGCCGGCCGGCTGCGCACTGACGCAGCTCGCCCATGTGCGATGTAAAACTGGTTGGTTAGCGTACTCGCCTCCCGTCACGCCTCGTAACCCCGAGAAAACGCCGAAGAATCAATCTAACGGCCGAGACACGATTTTTCCACGTTCGCGAAACGAAACCGGGCCAGCACGATTACGTTAATCGATATACATACGTACCCCCGAGCGATCATCGTCGACGCGAAAACCAGATCGCGCGCTTCACGATCCCCCGATTTATTTATCGCGAACAGCTACAACGAGGAGTAGCGAGGGTTACGCCGCAACACGCGAAAAAACAGAATCTCACACGGAAAAAAAGATTTGGTTGAATTAACCGAATATCTGGTCGAAATACGAACGATCCAGAAATTCCGGTTGAGGTAACCCGAATTCTGTTTAAGTTAACAAGATTTTTGGTAGACTAACCAAACATGTCTGGTTATTTAACCAAACATGTCTTTTACTCTCTGGTTAAATAATCAGACATGTGTTGGTTAGTCTATCAAAAATCTTGTTAACTTAAACAGAATTCGGGTTACTTCAATCGGAATTTCTGAATCGTTCATGTTCGACCAGATATTTGGTTAATTCGACCAAATTTTTTTTTCCGCGCAATAAAAAAAAAAAGAATGAAAATGTACACAGACAAAATTTTATAGCAGAAATTGCTATAAGACTTCTCTCCTAACCGGAAAAGATCGACATTCTGCAGTAATTCACTATGTTTCATATATGCCACTCATATTATAAGAACTAAATATACTATTAAAACACTTGCTATATTTCTAACGAAATTTACTATGTTCCTCCAAGATAGATCTTACTGACTGTCTACTCTTGGACTACTAAAAACATAGTAAAATTGAATTTACATAAAAAAATTAATACAAGCTATAAAACTATGAAAAATAACTATAAACTATAAAAATAGTTATATAATCATATAAAATTCTCTCCGCGTACAAAATCAACTCTCTATGTACATGGAGAAAATATTGTAGTAAAAATTACGTTACAATTATATTTCTTTTTACAATATCTTTGTAAAGCTAGTCTATATCGAATATATTGTATAAATTACTATGCATGGAAAAAAATAGTTTAGTTGGTTCTGCATATCTGTAGCTCGTGCTGGGCAAAATTAAACATTACAACTAAGCAGATTTGCCAGCGCAGCAAAGATATTTAGATATGGAAGTGATTGTCAATCTGCTCATAGGAACAAATCCATTTTTGTTGATATTATCTCAGTTATTGCAACAAACCTTTTCGTATTTCGAGCTAATGTTTCGAGCTGAAAAGTTTACGAAGCAAATTCATTAATTTTACTAAACCAAACATGCAATTATTCGACAGATAATGAAGAAATTTTTTTGCTCGGTTTATGGAAAACTGCGCCCTCATTAAGTCTGACTGAAAATATCCGTAACACGAAATATGTTATTATGCGTTACGCAATTTGAGTTTGCCTTTTCATATTAATAACTGCATATATTTGCAATATATTATTATTAATTATACGTATCTTTATGCGTGTATGCATTTGCATTAATAATATTTTATTATATTATTTGAATAGTTGCAGAGTAAATATTTAAGACATTTCAATGAGCATTTTTGCTTTAGCTAATTTCTATTTATACATTGTTATATTGCCGGAGTAACTGATGATTTATATAGCTGTATTGAAATCTATTAATATTGAAATCTATTAATGCACCAAATCTCTTTTAATATAACAGATTAATATAAAAGATTAGTTGCATATATCAAACTATAATTTCCATTAGTTGTGGTGTAAAATCGTCTTTGCAATACTTAATAAATAAATCTGCTGCGCTTTAACATCAAACTTTTTTAGTTACAATCACAAATTTTATAAAACTTTGCGACTTGGTTACTGTAGCAATTAGAGGCGAAATTTTCAGTTGTGACAGCAAATTCTTTTTTTCCATGTAGAAATAGTAAATTTGACGATTTATCCTGGCATACGATATACAAAAATATCCAAATAATTACAAAAGTTTTGTAGTAAAAAATCAAACATGCATAATTTTAACGTACATTTTAAACAGGCATAATTAACATTTGTAAACAAATATGTAATGATTGAGATAATAATTTTGAGTGATCCAAGATTACAAAAATTTGTTTGTAATTTTTATCACAATCTTTTCTCCATGTACAACGTTGGGTCTGTGAGACCCGAACGAATATATTTAACTGCTGATCTTGCATAAAGAATTCGGGAAAATTTCAAAATAGCGCAATCTGTTTGCAGACTTTTTCTTGCGCTATTTTATAACTGGATCTTTCTTATATCTCTAAAAAGAAACGCGCCTAAAAATATTGATTTTGAACAAACATATTTAACTGCTGATCAACTTGCGTAAAGAATCCGGGAAAATTCCAAAATAGCGCAATCTGTTTGCAGACTTTTTCTTGCGCTATTTTATAACTGGATCTTTCTTATATCTCTGAAAAGAAACGCGCCTAAAAATATTGATTTTGAACAAAGTTATAGTAATTCAAAGTTGCCCAAGTTTGATAAACCCAGATCGTGCGGTATGTCCCAAAAAGATTGTACATGGATGGTTAAGTGGCAAAGATCAAGTATATGGAATTCACTTTCAACTATGAAACACGCCTGCTTCAAGTATGAACATTTTCGAGCGATTTCGCAAGCTTGAAGGGGGCGGGTGGAGAACTGGCAAGTCGCGTTAAATCACAAACTGCGACTTACGGCTCGCGCGAGAAACAATATCCGCGCACATTGTGGGTCATCGAGACCTCTCGAGGGAACCAGCGAGATAGCTGAGGTGGAGCAAGGCGATGTCGAGCCGCGCGAGATCGCGATACGCGAGCGCAGGCTTGGTCGAGCAAAAAGCTCGTCGAAAACACGACCGCTGTAAATTGCGTTGCGCAATTAACGCGCTGACGGACGCGGATTAATGGCCGAGTTAAGAATAGATGGATATACAGGCGGACAGATAAACAGATTCGACGCGTAGAACGGTCGCGTAATCGTCGAATGATTCAATCGCGTCGATTATTCAATGACACTCGGATGCAATTTGCGAATCTACGAATCGCGAGAGATCGAGCCTGTCGGGGCTCGTTCGTCGTCAATCTCGCTACTTGCCGCCTCCTGACGTAGGAGGATGACCAAGACAGATATCATAGTTCACATCTTACTAGGACGTTTCCTCAAGGACGAGCATTTGCGCACGAGGAACACCGGTTGGCCGGACGCTCTTTTCAATTGCGACTTCCGGCGCAATGGTCTCCTGCGGATACCAGACTTCTGCCTCTTCAGATGACGCTGCTGCTGCTGCTGAGGGAAACTGACGTTCCTCCTGCGCTCGTTGAAACGGTCGGCGTTGTCGTCGTCCTCACTGTCGGTCGACGAGAGGCATCTGTAGCCCAAGTTGGAGCTCTCGCTCTTTGACCTCTCCTTGACAGCATCCTTCGCCAGGAAACTGAGGAACTGGCTGCTGGCGAAGTAATTGCCAGAAGCAGCCGTGCTCGTCGTTGTTGCCGTCGTCGTTGTCGTCGTCGCCGTCATGGCCGTCGTCGTCGTCGTCGTCAGCGAAGGCTTCCAGGTGGTCCCGCGCGCCAAAAGGCCGCTGGTCCTCAGCTCCTCGGAGAACAACTTATCTTCGTTGAAGTCGCTGATCTTCGGAGCCGGGCAGGCTGACGACGAGGACGACGTCGCCGAGAAAGAGCCCAGCGACGACGACACTATCGAGTTCAGAGCGTCGTCGTGAACGCGCTCGTTGAAGTCGCCCGACAGCAAGAGCTTCTGATCGTCAAACTGATCGTCCGACACGTTCGACGACCAGTCGTTGATCCGCTCGAGGATCGGTCCCTCGTCGTCGGGGAAGTAGCGGATCTCCCGCCAGACTCGCCGCTGACGTCTCGAGCGTCGTCTCTCCGGCGGGACGAACCACACCGGGCTGCTGGTGCGAGGGGGCTGCTGCTGGCACTTCCTGGAGCGCTGCGACGTCCTCTTGCCGCGAGAGCGGCGGGAGCTCGAGCGTCTGGACGCGCTCGTGCGCTTGAAGTAGCCCTCGCTGCTGACGCTGGGCGATGGTTTCGGCGTCTTGCGACGGAAGAGGCCGTTTCGCGTCACCCTAGAGTCAGGCAGGGTCGGTTTCGGTCGAGTGAGAGAGCTTCCAACAGCGCGCGCTGCTGTTCGACGCGATCGGTCGGTGAAACTGACTCTGAATATCGCAACCTCGCGAATGCAGGTTAGATTCCAATCAGAATTCTCAGCTTTGTCCCAAAATCCCACTACGATACTAATTCCCTATTGGGAATTCTACACATTCTTGCCTTAAAATAGATTATCCCATTACAATATTAATTGAGAATCCTTGTCCTTAATGAGTTTTACAATCGGAGCAGAAATATTAAGGAAACTTGAGCGTTTTTAAGTGTTTTCTGTATCAGTTTCATTAATGCAATAAAGATAGTATAAATGTTTTCACTGACATTGTTCCATTGTTCCAAAACGTAAAATAACATTAACGTATAATACATATAACGTATAAACGTATAATACATTTTTGTTTTATACACTAAGAAAAAAATTTACTAAATTTCAAAAAACGTTTATTTAGATAGTACTGTGAAGATATTTGTTTAAATTAAGTAATTATTTTCTAAAATTAAATAAAGATGTTTTAAATATAAATTTGTTTCTTTAATTTTAGAAAATAATTACTTAATTTAAACAAATATCTTCACAGTACTATCCAAACCATCGTTTTTTTAAATTTAGTAAATTTTTTTCTCAGCGTATGTAACACAGAATACATTTGTATTCTGAGAATAATTTGACAATTTCATACATTTCTAAGTCGGAAAAATTTGCTAGATATATATATATATATTTCTTACTTTCTTAGCTCGAAGGCTTTCTATTACAATTTCTTCATGACTTTTTTTGCAAACACTTTGAGCATTGCAATGAGATAATGTGAAAATGTTTAAAGAAAAACAATAATCTAAATAATACTTAAATGAGAAAAAATAGTTATTAATTACTGACAAAAATTTATCGCAAAAGTTCTGCTGAGTTTACATGCTCATCGAGCGTAGCTCCTTGTCAGTTATGATCAAGGAATTCCTTGACTCAAGTCAGTCACTGAGAGACTCGTTGCTTGAACGCAAGAGGTTAAAGACCCTATCGTAATTGGACAGACCGGACAAGTGAATACTTAACAAAAAAAGGTACCTAAACTTCACCGACCAATCGTCAAATCGACACAAGCTCGAAAATCTTAATCACCCTGGTCTAAAATCCGCAAGTTTAGCGATTCTAAGAGAGAAACCGAAGGACGACGAGGTATCCTTGCTGACGGGCTTCTCCGGCGCCGAGACCGTCCTCGCGACGGTCGGCTGCGGTTTCCTCTCCTTCAGGCCGCTGTCCAGCGAGTGATGGACCGCGGGATCTGACGCGGCAGGATACGCAGCCGGTGGCGGGACCGATACCGGCGCCGGGACCGGCACCGCATCCCTCCATATCCTGCCAAGACTGATGCTGACGCTAGGTGGTCCTTCCGCGAACGACTCCTGTGCCCAGAGACCGTCCTGCCCGTTGCTCTCGTCCCGAACATGATCCTGCGTGGCGATCCTGAAGGGCTTGGGCCGTTTGGACGTGAGAATGGGCGAGGCGTCGAGCTCGAGGATCTTCAGGTCCTCGGCGATCGAATTCGCGTCGGTATTATTGTGTTTGGGCGTAACTTTAGCGGCCTTGACGACCTTTGGTGGATGCTGGAGAGACTCCACGCGATCTTCGTGAAGCTTCTCGAGGGAGGAGGAGCTGACTCCTTGGAGCCATTCGTCGTACGTGATGGAGTCGCGTCCAAGTGAGCATTCCTGATTCTTCTTCAGGTCCTTCTCGTTGGCCTGCTGTTGGACAATCTTGTCGGTCGCCACCACCGGTTGCGAGGCAGGATTAGCGGCGGGCTGCTCTTGATTCTTCTGCAGTCGGTTTCGTCGTTTGCCGCGGTCCAAGTAGCTCTTTCTGATGGATATTCTCTTGAAGGACTCGCTGCGCTTGAAGGAGGGCTCGTTGCGGTCCTTCTTACGGCCCACGAGCCTCCTCAGGTTCTCGAAGGAGAGGGGCCTCATGGGGCAACGCGACCAGCCGCGACTCGCGGAAGTACGATCGGCTACGGATTTATGCTACCTCGAGGTGACGTCGGCACGATCGTGCGGCGAGAATCAGCAAAGGCTCGTTCCGTGAGAGGATCACGAATGCTGCGGAGTCCAGTGTGCTCAACCGAGGATCGGAGGAAGTCTCGGCGAAGAGAGTACAACGGATTCACGCAGGATCCGAATGATCGAGGGCCCGCGAGATAGCCACGAAAGCATGAATTTATGGAAACGAGCGAATCTGCGCGAATTTCTCTTCTCTTTCCCCGATTGCGCTTCGTTCCGTCTCTCGTTCCTCGGGCCCTTCTCTTTCTGTCTCCCTCTCTCTCTCTCTCTCTCTCTCTATTTCTCTCTTCTCACCGGCCTCCTTGCCCTTTTGCTCTCCGTATCCTTCTCTTCCTCCTCCTCACTCTCTCTTTTTCTCTCTCTCTCTCTCTCTCTCTCTCTCTGTTCGTCCCTTCTCCCGCGGCACACTGGCTAAGGTGCAACGCCGAGGTCTTCCAGTCGCGGATGATCAGCGTGGCTTTCCTTTTTCGACGCCGTGCTGCTGCTGCTGCACCGCCGCCACCGCTCCTCCTCCCTCCTCCTCATTGCCCTCCTCTTCCCTTTTTTCCCGTGCCCTCGGCACGACCAGGATGATCATTCTACGCGACAAGATTCGGCGAGGTTTCCGCGTCGATGCCGCGCGCGGGGATATCGTGCCGATGAACGCGAGCGCGCTTGGCGATCTACCCTCGGCGATTGCTGCCTTCGCTCGTCGTCATGACTTCTCCCGTGGAACTCTCTAAAGGACCCTTCTACAAGCCGGCGGAATTAAGACTGTGCTTTTTTACTCGCACGTCCATGTCGCTACTTCAAGTCTGACCACGAACGATTTCGTTATTGCCGACTTTTTTCTATTGTTAGCCGCGCGAAACGCTTCGCGAACTCTTTCTTTTCCTCTTCCTTTGCCACAATGACGCTTCGACGATAAATGATTCGCGGTTCATCGATCGTGATTTCTTTCGGGTATCTCGCTCAATGCAAGCGCCACGAAAGTACCTCGAGACACTGGTCAGACACTTTCTCCGCCCTCGGACGCGGTTACAGCGTTTGTTTCACCCTTTTCCTCTCCCCCACCGTCGTTCTCTCCGCGCGGTCTTTTCCGCGGCGATCCGTGTGCAGCACCTCCGCGAAACTCGTTCCGCGCAAGAAGGTGTCGTGTCGCAACTTTGCAAATTAAATCTGACTTGTTTTCCTCTCTATCCTAATCGATGAATAAACCATTCGTTAGAACCAGAGCCTCGTCGTTCAACCGCGACGAGCAACGATCACGTCTAAATTTAACGAGGAGGCGTCTCTTTCTCGCCGATCAAAGCGAAAATTCACGCGCTCTCGAGTTGCGCTCTGAGCGGCGCTAAAAGCCGCGAGTTTCGTTCGCGGGTGTCAGGAGACCACATCGACACTCGTTAGAAACGGAGCACTCCGCGGAGTTCGCTCCGCTGATCACCGTTCAAAATCACCCACGTACCGGTGCACGTACGCACGCACGCACACACACACACACACATGCGCGCGCGGGCGCGCGCATGCACGCAATCGCGCCGAACACACACACACACACACACACACACACGCGCGCGCGCGCGCACACTCTCTCAAGTCTCGCCTCGTATTTTCGCCTTCGATCGCCTCTCACTCGTACCGCGGGACACGCGACGCACACAGAAGTCGCTCGGGCGCGCAAACGCGACGCGTCACACCGGCGACCGGCGGTCAGGACGGCCGATTCGCCGCCCAAGACACTTGGTACCCGCGCACGGACGCCTCGCAGCGAGATCCCGCGGAGCTTCACGCATCGCTCGGCGCGCGTTCGAATTCCCGCTCCCTCGATCTGCGCCTCGGCGCGCCGTCGAGCCGCGTAGTTCAAGTCGCGTCGAATCACTGGCATTTTGCGCGCTCTCCGCGGCTCTCCCGCGGGGAGAGAGAACAGAGCGAGTGAGAGGAGGCGGAGGAGGCGAAGGAGGAGGAGGAGGAGAAGGAGAGAATGAGAGAGAAAGAGAGAGAAGGAGAGGCGGGTGGACGGGTGGGAAGCCGGCTCGCGCGTGTAAAAGTCGTCGGACGGAGTAGGTGAGAGGAGATTGAACGCAGGAGCGAGCAAGGAGGAAGAAATGAGAGTGTGTGTGTATGTGTGTGTGAAAGAGAGAGAGAGAAAGAGAGATAGGGACAGACAGAGGGACATGGAAGTGGTGGTGGTATGCCGTCCGTCCACTCTCGCCTGCCTTCTTCTCTCGCAGCATCCCACTCTCCCTCGTTCCGTCTCGCTCGACACCCTTGATCGCACCGGCACGTCGTCTCGCTCGTGCGGCTCCAGCGGCACTCGAGATCTCGGTTGACTCTCGGTGCCCTGCCTCCTTCTCCGAGAGAAAAAGAGAGAGAGAGAAAGAGATTCTTAAGGTGGGATTACGAGAGTCGACCCTTCGCGGGATTGTTACAGTCCGTGATTTTAAAGCCGCGCGATATAGCGCGCGAGAGAGCGTCGATATAAATAATTATCGCCATTTGACCGTAATCCTGTACCCTCCGCTCTTGTTCGGGCGTCGATTCCCTCATGCGAATCTCTCATGTTCTTGGTGGCGCTCCGCGAGGCTCCGCTTTCGCGAAGGCTCGAAGAAGCACTCTCTCGTGGTCGTAAATGTTCCAGCGGTCAACGTAGCCGTCTGATAACGTCTCCTGTCTGTTCGTCCGTCCATCTGTCCGTCTGTCTGTCTGCCGGACATAAAGAATACGTGGAGCAGCGGAGTAAGCGCAAGAGTCGCGGAGGATAGCCGCTGCTCGATGCGCCTCTCTGTCCGAGGGAAAAGCTTCTATTTATGGGTCGATTGCTCTTCGACCCTTAAGTACCCGACGCGCCGTATCCGACGTATGTACGTACGTACGTATCTCGCCGGCCGATGCGGGCTCTTACTTTCCGCGAATAAGATTCAAGACGCCTACGTTCAATCGTCTCGCGAACTCGGATGCTTCGGCTTCGGCGGAGCGATTACCCGGCGAGTGGGCGGCGCGGAATCGCAGCGGTGCTTTTCGAACTTTCTCGTACTCTCCTCAGCCGCCCGCGAGAACGAATTCCGTATCTCCGACTTTTCATTTCGCGAGCGCGAATCATAAGAGAACTGCAACCTACACGAAAAGAAGAACTTGGTTGAATTAAGAGAGATAAACACTGTGACGGCTGAAAAAAATAGCTCTTTTTAGCGAATTTTTTGTGACGCCCATAAAGCAGGTAGATAAATAAATGTTTTTGCATTGAATTAATCATCTCTTGAACTGTTGAAAAATGTTTTTCTATTTGATGAAATACATTTTTATTTTGATATAAAATGTGTCTATAGTAGGTTCTGCAAACTCTAACAGCCCTGCACCTTAGAGTCCTTAAAAGTCATCTGAAATAAAAAAAACCCAAGATTTTCTTAAAATAGATGAATGTAATTTCAATTAAGCGTACGGATTTTTTTTACGATTAAAATTTCCTCCCAAAAAACGGTACTTTTTTGGACAATTCTCGAACATTTTTTTAAACGTACGTTATTTTGTAAATAATTAAACTATTAAAATTTTCGACTGAAACTACATTCATATACTTTAAGAAAATCTTGAGTTTTTTTATTTCAAATAACTTTTAAGGACTTCAGGTGCAGGGCATTACAGACACATTTTATACCAAAATAAAAATGTATTTCATCAAATAGAAAAACATTTTTCAACAGTTCAAAAGATCACTAATTCAATAACCTGATTTATGGACGTCACAAAAAATTCGTTAAAAAGAGCTATTTTTTTCGGCCATCGTAGTGTTTATCTCCCTTAATCAGAATTCAGGATACATCAACTAGACTGATGATATACGAACGAACTATTCTTGGTTAAGGTAATCACACAAATTTGGTTACAAGCATTTGTTTCAAATGACAAGTTTACTTACTCGAGTTTCGAAGATTTTATCCCAGTATTTTTATACGCAGAATGACTCTAGGAATCGATTTGTGTACAGAAAAAAAAAAACTATATCATTTTATTCAAAAGATTCAAACTAATTGAAAAATTTTAGTACGTTCACCACAAGGCCAAGTTAATAACACTATTAAGCCTATTCTACAATACCCAAATATAAAGTAAGACGTAAGTAGTAAGCAAATTGACCAATCACAGTCGATTATTCTTGGACTGCAAGAACCCCATTGATCAAATTAGCTTACTGCTTACGTCTTACTGCGAATTCTTATGGCTACTATAGAATAGGCTTCATTCGTTCCCCTAAAACTTTGATCTGAGACATTTTATACGACATCAAGTTTAACAAGAAGATATAAGTTGCTTATATAAAATGGAATGTCCCGTACGCGCTTACTTAAATGATATGCTGCTTGTCGATCGTATACGATACTATTTTGTGAAGTTGTGTTATCAACTGCGCCAAGTTATACAGCGCATTTTAAACTTTAAAGTTGGCACTACGTGTAGCACTACGTGTAGCAGCAGCCCGTCACCGATGACGACCGTGACACAACCTCTGAATGACTCCGAGTCCAGAGGTTCCAGAGTCTCGCGATACTGTCGCGAGATTAAGATCGTTTATGATCTTAATTGCAGATTCCACGAAGGCGTCCGATACCGCTGATCTCAGACAACGGCGACGAGCGTGGCCACGGCACCGTGTACAGGTATACATTGTCAGGACGACGCGGAGGAGGGACCACAATAATGGCCGATAAGCAAGAAGTCGTATGGATGGTGAATGCAGCGCGGCACCGGCACCATCGACTCACTCAAGGCGACTCGAGGACGTTTACCTACGAAACCGACGGCCTTGATCTTACAAACGATCCGTGAAGGAGCGGCCGATCTGGTGCCGCAGTTGCACCTGCGTCGCGTGCGACAAAATCGCCGCTAATCAACCCTGTCCTCCCCTCCGTTCTTCGCGCCTTGTCCTTCCCGCGGGAGAACAGGATCGACTCCCTTGCGAAAAGTATCGAGCGACGCGATACTTCGCATTTCGCACTTAACCCTTTGAACACCGAGACGCGCGATCACGCTACTCGAGCAAGACCAGTCAACTGAACTCGAATGTGCCCCATAAATCTTATTATTTTATGTTTCAAGAATATATATGTGACGTTGAGTTTTACTTATATCTCTCTTTTCTTGTTCCCTTGCTACTTTGATTTTTATATTTTTGTTTCTTTTGTATCTTTTAATTATTCTTTCTATTACGTCCATCTAGAAGAGCGATTATAAGTGATACATCTTCCTGTGTCGGTTTCTCTCTCGATATCGAGAACGCGATGTATGAGTTTGTGTGAAATCAGAGATAATCTTCAGGATTAAGAAACATCGCAGCGCAACAACCGTCCGCGAATCCACGGAAATCGTCGAGATAAATGCACGCGTTGCCTCTAATTGGTAGCGCGTAATAACACGGCAATTATGAAATAGTAGGTTAAGATCGCTTTCTATTCTCTTTTTCTAGGTGAACCGCTCGCGCGTACGTGTACACGCTCGTGTTTGCGTACATATCGAGAACTAATGACTTAATAGCGTATCACGACGGCAAATAGCCGGCGATATAGAAGTTCCGCGCGACAAAGACGCCGCGGTCTTGAACGGTCTTAATTACCCAAACTGAAGCTACGAACGCAATAAAATTCCGAAGGTCTTTATTTCTGTAGAGGTACACATACAGTTAGGCAATAAATGGAAATATAAAATTGGAATAGAAACTAGCGCACACACAAAAAATATTCCACTATCACTAAGAAAAGTGATTTCTCAATTTATTTTTCTTTTTTTTATTGAATAATAGTTATCTTCGACAAAGAATATTTTCTTGTTTTAAAATGTACTCATTACAAATGTTAAAAAAGTTCGTTATCATGTGATTAAATGAAGAAATTACTCTTTTTTTAGGTATGTATGAGATAAACATATGATAGATTTGTGGATATACAAACTGAGGAAATATTACAAACAATATTTACTTGAATGCAGTATGCGTTTTTCTGCATGTAATAATGCAGTTTATCTTAAATTCTCAATTTTTGTTTGTCAATTTTCATTTTTTCTTTGGTATTAAGAATTCGTAAAACGATGATAAAATGATGAAATTTTTCACAGAAAGATTATATGACATATTTTCGATATCTCATTTCTCCTTGCGCGTCATGAACGCGAGCCGGTGTGAAAATATCCGATGTTGGCACCCTACTTTTCAAGATTTAACGCAAGTTCTATTTACACTCGCTATAAATCTGGGTTTCCTGATAGGTTACAGCAATCGTTCCACTAAATTAGTTATAAGTGCCAACTTCCCGTGGTATCTCAAACTTCAAAAGTCATTTTAACTATGGAATCTTATATTTTTTGGAGAATTCTCTAGTTTCTGATAAATTTAAGTGTGAGTTCCATAGCATTCTACTATTTTTATGTAATTTTAGTAATTTTCACTCTTTTTATTTAATTATAATTGTTACAATTTAGTGTTCACTTTCTAGCATTTGGTTATATATTTCCACCATGATAAAAATACTAATTGCTATTAAGAAAAAACACAAGTATGAAGTCGGTCTACCTCACAAGCAATTTTTAACATCCTACTAACAAGTAAACCTACACAAAAGGTACACTCCGATTACTTTCTAATTTGGCACAAACTTAGAAGTATAAAAAATATTTAAGTCATATTTTTTCATTTTGGTCCACTTTGAGTTTCACGGGCAGTTTATTTTTAATATTTTCACTCCTATCATCAAGTACAACAAAAATGCATAAGAAATAAAATTCAATACAAGATATAGTTAAATAATTTTAACAAAATCGGCATAGCTGAGACATGAATCATTCTAAATTTCTTTAGTCGAGATTCCAACCGAAATATTTCAAATCTGTGCGAAATTAGTAAAAAATAATTTTTACTGACAAACCCAGAAATTTTTTGTATAAATAATTTTTTTTCAACTTTTTACATGTTTTGTTTAAACATTTGATTATTTATACAAATAAAATTAAATTATAATAAAAATTATAATTTTATACATTTGACTTCATATTCATAATCAGTAAACCAAAAACTCCTATATCTTGTATTCAATTTTATTTCTTATGCATTTTTGTTACACTTGTTGATGATAGGAGTGAGAACATTATAAACTGGTCGTAAATCTCAAAGTGGACCAAAAGGAAAAAATATGACCTAAATATTTTTTGTACTTCTACATTTGTGCCAAATTAAAAAGAAATCGGAGTGTAACTTTTGGTTAGGTTTGCTTGTGAGACTATTCCTGCACATACTACTAGAAACATACAGTAAAATTAAAAAGAATTTATATGAAAAATACTATTACATTCTCCATGTAGATACTCACAAAGTTCAATTTTTACTAGGTTCAATTTCTACAAGATTCAATTTCTATTATCTCTACTGTATCTGTTTCGCTCTAAAGGTGCAAAAAGTGCCAGAAAGTGCAACCTGGTTTAGCTAAAAAGAACTTAGATCTATTGCGGGTACAAATAGATTTGACTCGCGTCAAATTTTACGGCATTGAAACGTGAGATGCCAAATTCACGACGATACAACACAAGAGATATGCCTTCGTTTCGTCTCATTCCCCCATTATTCGTCGTAGGCCGACGTCCGCAGTGATTAATGCGTATTATTCGTCGGTTATGCTTTCGAAACGAATTAGTCACTTTCTCGTGGCAAGCGTAAAGTCCCGGTTACACGATACTTTTTTGTGATTTTGTGCCAGCCGGTACTCGCCGGTGTAAAAAGGTCAGCCGCGATCTGGAACGCGAACGAACGCGTTTGTCTTAAGAATTGTGCACTGACAAAGAATCGCGGGCACAGAGAATCCACGCAAATTTAACTTACAAAACAAAATCTACCGCGCATCCGTCGAAAGTTACAGCCGTTGCTGTTTAGCTCTCTCTCTCTCTCTCTCTCTCTTTCTTATCAAATCGATCGATAGTCGCGCAGAGTCGTCTCCTTCGTGAAACGAAGAGCGACGTCTTTAAAGCACGATAACGCTATCAGAGCACGCGAAGAGAGCGCCGATGAAAATCATAGTTCACAGCTCGACGAGACAAGGCGCAGCGAAATGAGGCGAGGCGAAGTTTAAAACGTTGCGACGAGCGTGCATGCAATGGAGCCGTCCTACTCTTTATTAATGCGGATGCACGCGCGCGCGACGCCGCTGACGCAGACTCTTAAGTCTTATTTACAGCTGACGACGTAAGCCGCTTACGTTACACCCGCCGCCACGTGCTAGCCGGCCGCAGTTGACCAAGCAATTGCGTTTTCCTCGTTCGTTCAACCGGCAAGCCGTATTCTACTCTCTAGGCGGCCGGGACCGACTCGTGACCGTCAGGTGATGACCTTCGTGATTAATCGACACTCTAGTTCGTTGCATGTACCGCAGGATTCACGGAGAACCCGCCGATCACCGGGGGATGCCGCGTATCGGGTAACGGAGAAACGAATAGTTCGTGACA